GAGAGAGAGAGAGAGAGAGAGAGAGAGAGAGACAGACAGACAGACAGACAGACAGACAGACAGAGAGGGAGGGAGGGAGAGAGAGAGAGTTGAAGAGCCCACAGTCGTCTTTGAGACAAAAGTGAATCACATTAATGTGATTTCATCTACAATAAACGTTTTCTCCGCGTCCTATCAATGGAAAGACTGTTTCGCCTCTGAAGTAACCTACTCAGTTTTTTTTTCAATAATCTAAATTTCTCTAGCAGCAGCAGAAATAACAGCAGCGGAAAGAAACTGATCTACAATGTCAGTATTACATTTCCGGTGTGAAGACGAAACCGTTTTATAATCTGTCGACACTTTCGTATAACGATTTTAGACGGCGCTACTTCTAACTGTTTGCGGGGAAGGGGGAGGAGGGAGGGAGGGGAGGGGGGAGGGGGGAGGGAGGGGAGGTGGGATTGGAGAAGGTTGAGGGAGAAAGACGCTTACAATAATTACAAAGTAAGTTTTTTTTCAATTAAAAATGTTTAAGTGTAACGTTATCCAATTCATCACTCGTGTCAAATCTTCGATAAACGGCTGAACTCCACTTTCGTTCAAATGTCACTCTTAAATTTGGCGGATATTACTGAACAATTATTTACCTCGTAAGACATAAAATTTCGGCTGCAGTCTAGGTGTGAACATTGATTTCGTTCTCATTCTCATTTCCTTCAAGTTGATCTCTTATTCCAGCTCTAATATCGGGAGCTATTACAACTTATTTACTGTGATTTGCGCAAACGACGTCTCAGTGAAGGTGACAGCTCTGACTGTCCTCAAAATACACACGAATAAATTAATAATTGCGATTAAATGATGTTTTTAAAATTTCATTTTTAAAATTTGATTTCGTCTTGAGTTCATAGGAAAGAGGAATTACCGGGAAGTTAAATACTTACTATTAACCAAACACAAAGGTGAATTAGATCTACTTGGTTGGTGCGTAGAGGCAAAATAGTGTAAATATATGAGAAATTTGTTCAGCACAGAATCGGGCTGTTATTGAATGTAGACAAAGAGAATAGTGTACTGCAATCTTTCTTGTGAAATGCCATTCGGACAAATTTAATTGCTCGGCCCACGAAACTGTAAATATCAGACAAGGACACGTATGGTGTCTTTGACCTACATATTCATAAATTAATATGTTTTTCAGTTCTACATTTTTGAGAGAACTTAACGTGTATCTTTGTTTTTAAGATTTAGTTTCAGTTAGAGGTTTACAGCTCTTGCAACACAAGTGGGCCCAATTCATATAAGTGTTGAAGATTAGAGGTATTACTAGAGAATACCATACAAAGAATATAAAGAGGAGAGATAAGGACGCCGGATGTTTGATAGGAAAGAAGGAGCAAACGACACCATAGCACCCATCAACTGCTCACATTTTGTAGTATGTGCGTAGTAGGATTCCCTGGTAAACAGGTAATTGGTGTTATTTTCGCCATCTTACCCACGCACATAAACTTCTCTTCGAGCAAGCCTAACCACTTTCTAGAACATGATTATGAATAACGTGTGAGGGAAAGATTGTGAAGCGTGCTGACAAAATGAGTTACTTCTCGGATTCGAGCCCTATTCAAGTAGATACATCACGCTTATAGGTGAAGATTTTATAATTTGTAAACATGAAACAATAAAAGGAATGTTATACTTGAAGAATGTGGCATTAATAGAAAATCTAAAAATTTGACCCTAGTGTGGATATTTGGCCAATATCTCCAATTGTGGATTGCTAGAAGTAAACAATTTTGTCAGCACAACTCACAATTAATTGTTACTCTGTACTCTGACAATAGAGTTAGCTCAAAAGGACACAACTTCGCTAAGCCGACCATGTCGTAAGAATGCCTGATTTCTTAATCCCAAAGGCAGTATTCTATTCTGAACTGTCCCCAGAGAAGAATAAGGTTGGCGCCTCAAAAGGTTTCGACAAATACACATTGGAAAAGTCTCTGAAGGACTTAAACATTGAATTTTCTCAAAATGTTGGAAGCACTAGACTCTTTTTCAGTGAAGTAAAAAGTAGACTTGTTGATCATTCTGTGCAGAACATAGAGGAAGAAGTGTGTCTCTAGACTTGAATGACGAGGTATTCTTCTACTTATTGAAGAAGAATAATCAGCACTACTTTGTACATGTCTGTCAGAGGCCAGGTGGGACTGAGTGGTATACAGCATCCCAGAAGACAGAACTAGGACTAAGAGTGATAAGACGGAGGCAAGGTGTCAATAGATAAAACTAGGACTGAGAGGTGATACAACATCGCAGCAGAAAGAACGAGATTTGAGAGGTGATACAACATCCCAGGAAAAATGAACTAGGACTGAGAGGTAATACAACATCCCAATAGACAAGACTAGGGCTAGGACTAGGACTAGGACTGAGAGGTGTTACAACATCCCAGGAAACAGAACTAGTACTCAGAGGGATTCAACGATCCATAAGAGTCATGCAGCATCCCAACAGAAAGAACGGGGTCTGAGGGATGCAATATCCGAACAGACAGAACTAGGACAGAGAGGGATACAACATCCCAGCAGACAAAACTAAGACAGAGAGGGATACAACATCCCAGAGGGATACAACATCCCAGAGGGATACAACATCCCAGCAGACAGAACTAGGGCTTATAAGAGGCATGCAACTTCCCAACAGACAGACAGAGATCATCATCAAGTGCCAGATATGCGACAGACAGACATCGGTAACCGTGGTTCTCCATTTATTCCTAGTCTTGGATACTCATTTAAAAAAGATACACTATCTTGATCTTTCTCCATCACT